CATACGTGGAAGGATATAATTATAGTCAATCAAATATCCATTTATTTCCAATTGTACTTCTACCTTACATACATTGATTGAATACATTTCTGAATTTATTTTTCTCCTCTGATAAGTGGGTATTCAGCATTACTATAGTAAATATCAGGGTGATCCAACATAAATGTTCCCCCGATCGCAGAATTCAAAAACTATTTGGTATATTTTTTAGCCAGTGAAGAGGTTTCAATAAGGCTAACTCTTCGTTATGGTTTTTTATTGAAAATCAGTTCGTATCTGAAATATATCTGACATCAAATACCTGACATTGAACTAGACAAATGTCAACTAATTTGAAGAAATATCATATCACACGTAAATTCCGATATTATACCATTCTGAATAGATTAACAATTACATTAACATCTAAGAACAACTTACCTGAAATACCAGGGTTTAAAGGTAGATGATCTCAGAAGACAATCTCACAATAACTAGCCCAAAAAGCTATTTCATATACAAATGATGATCAATGACACACAATACAGGTTATGCTACAACTTGCCCCCTCCTAAAACTTGTAATAGTACCTACATTATGGTAGTATTGCTAGTTGGTCAACTGAATGAAATCCCTTCAAATGACTAGCATGAAACAATCCTCGCTCTCGGTTGGTCATAGGATCTTCTAAAATATATGTAGCTGGAGCTACTTGTTTTTTTATTCTATAGGGTCCCTCGAATAGTAATAAAAACTTCTTGGTCTCTGCTCGGAGAGCAGATGAACTCGGATTCGATTTCAATAACACCAGATCACCTAAATTGAATTGATAGGGTCGAACTGACGGTCGTTGTACTGCACGACGGGCAGCCTTATTCATCAGGGTTTCTTTAGCCAATATCAACTTCTGTGCATGATCAATAGGTATCGTATCGGTGGAGGGACCACGAAATTTTGGCGGCAATAGACTTATTGGTTTGGCATCGAACTGTAATTCGTTTGGGCAGAACCCTGTCGATTCATGCACCACGTTATTTAAAAATGATGTAAAATTCGGTAATTCAATTGCCCACCGCTGCTGTTGTTCATGACAGTATGTCCTACATAGCCTTCCGAGCTCTCTCATGACCCTTTCCACAGGATTGGCCTGAGGATGTCGAATAGATGAAAAAATTACTTTAATATTGAGTGACTCTAGCATTTCCCGCCATTTCAAAGAAGTAAACTGACTTCCATGATCCGTTAGTATACTTTTTGGATAACCCATTGTCATAAAATAATGTTTTGTTAAGCGATTCAAAATTGCTCTAGTAGTTGCCTTTTTCAACGCATAACAAGTTACAAATTTGGTAAATACATCCAAAATAACGCATACAAAAGTTACTCCACCTTTACTCATTGGTAATGGACCGAACAAATCAAGGGCTAGCAAAGCATTTTTTTCATCTGGAATTATAGATTCAAATGGAGGATTGGGTAAAATTGAACATTTTGCTTTCTGACATATCTCACATTCTTTCAAAATCTTTTTAACAGATTTCGCCATATTGTTCCACCACACATCTCGTTTCAACGCATTCCACGTTTTATACGACCCAAAATGACCTAAAGCTACATGATAAGCCTCGGTGAATTCTCTTACTAATACTTTTGGAATACAAAGTAAATAATATTCATCGTGACTACTGCGTTTATATAATATTCCTTTATGTACACAAAAATTCAATTGTAACTTTGAATCAACCGGTAGTTGTTGAATTATATCTGATAATTTCTCATCTTGTTTTTGATCTTCACTAATTCTAGCAATAGCTGTTTGAAATTCTTTTGGTAATTTTAATACAGGACAAATTTTGAATAGTTTATCATTTGGAACTAATGGACGACTAATTGAATGTCGTGACAATGCATCAGCGACCACATTTTCAGATCAAGGAATATATTTTATTTCAAAATCATACTCTTGAATAGCAAGTGCATAACGAGCAATGCGTGGAGATAACAACCGACAACTGTGCAGGAATGTCACCGAGCTATTATCGGTATAAACAGTAAATTTACGGCCTAACAGATATATTCTGAATTTGTTCAATGCCCAAACCAAAGCCAAAACTTCTCGTTCGTTGATATGGTATCTTTTTTCGCGACTTAACAAAACTCGACTCGCCCAAGCTATTGGATAACGTCTTCCGTCTACCAATTGAAATAACTGAGCCCCTAAACCCGTATCACTAGCATCAGTTTGCAAACAATATGAACTATCTATACGAGGATGATGCAATAATGTACTTTCTTGAAGTTTTGATTTCAACTGGCTAAATGCTCTCTCCTCTTTGTCTCCCCAATGCCATTTATTAGTCTTTTTCAATAGCGCGACTAAAGGAGCTGCACTGGTGGCAAAGTTCTCGCAAAAAGAACGATCATAATTTGCTAAACCTAGAAATCGTTGAAGTTCTTTGACATTAGTTGGTTTTTCATAATCTAATTTCGCCTGAATACGGTTTGGATCTGGTCTGACTCCAGTTTTATCTAGAATATAACCTAAAAATTTCATTCCTTGTCGGAAAAAGAAACATTTCCGTAATCGTAACGTGAACCCTGCTTGTTTAAGTCTTTTGAATACACGATCTAAATGTTCAATGTGTTGTTCGAATGAATTACTAATTATCAAAATGTCATCAACATAAATTGTCACAAACGATTCAAATTCTGGACCTAACACAGTAGTCATACATCTACAAAATGCACTAACACTTGTTGACAGTCCAAATGGTAGTGTCTGAAAACAATACGTTTTTCCATCGAATCTGAATCCTGTATACCGTTGCGATTCAGCTGATAACGGAATTTGCCAATATCCATGGGTACAATCTAATGAAGACATATAATTAATATTACCGAATGAATGTAAAATTTCTTCTATTGGTCGCGGAGTTTCATACTCTCGCTCCATAATCTTATTTAGATGTCTTGCATCTAAACATACTCGCACACTATTATCCTTTTTCAAAGTAGTCATGATTGGTGAAATATATGGTGTCACCATACGCTTTATAACCCCCCATTCTTGCATCAAATCTAGTTGTTTTTGTACAGCTGACTTATGACTAAGCGGCACAGGATATTGTTTCATACAAAATCCTGTCTCATCCTTCAAACGAATATGATGAACATATTCTGTAACATAACCTGGTCTGTCAGAAAATAAATGACGATGAGTATGTAAAAAATTTCGGAATATGTTCTTTTGCTCATCAGTTATCATGCCCATTTCAACGGTATCATCAAAATCTTCACATCCTGACAAATATTGATCTGTTTGCTGAACTGAATATACACATTTTTCGGTATTGATCAATTTCATTTGAAAAGATTCATTCTCTTCATGCTGTGACTTGATTTCTGGAATTTCAAACCAATTAATACCTGATTTCATCAAAATTATCTCATTTTCAAAATCTAATTTTGCAGAATGGTGTCTAAGAAAATCAATACCCAAAATCACTGGATATGCTGAATATGGAATCAATAAAAATTCATGACAGACAGTCAATCCTTCAACTGAAAACGTAAGCATGGATTGCTGTTGTATTTTTTTCTGGTGATTTTTAAACGCACCAGTTACCTTCACCCCTGTACAACGAAAAGTTGGAATTAAATTATGGAACTCTGCTAACTGAGTCCAAACGTCCTCACTAATGGCACAAATTTCAGACCCACTATCAACTAACGCTGGAAAACTAAAATGAAACAAAACAATTGAAATAACCGGAGATTTTGAATTTGACATATTATGCTCGAAATTACATTCCTCAAGTAACTCCTCTCGAGGATTATTACAATATGAGTTGGCTCTATTGATCACTGTCCCCACGATAGAACCTAATTCTCGTGAGGAAACTGATCGTTTTCCTGCTGTTGATCGACAACACTCATATCTTCTTCATTGATAACCAACATTTTTTTATTATTAACCGGTTCATCTGCTCCCCGCTTAGTGACAGCCGAACCACCCGAATAGGAAAAATCAGCACTTGATCGAATATTTCTAGTCCCTGAACTAACTTTTGCTCCTTCTTGATTATTGGAAACATTCGGTTTTTTATAATACTCTCTATTATATTCATTCCTAGGAAAATTCCTTTGTGAATAATTTCTTCCCTCGTTTGAATTTCTGGAAAACTCATTATGAACCTCTTTCCGATGATACTCTTTAGAACTATCCTCATGACATTTAGATGATGGTCCCCTCTTAGATCCCTTCCTATAATAATCGATCTGTCTCAAACGTTCTAATGCATCTTCAATATTTTTCACCCCTACTAACATTACAGCGATATGTTCCGGATAATGTCTCCCGATAATCTTAATCAATTGTTTTTCCTGAATTTTCGGTTCTGAATATTTCGCCATAGCAATATATTTCATGAAATGGTCTACTAAAGATCCCTCTTTCTCCTCAAACTTATCACCCTGCAAACTTTCCCGTACTGTTTCTTGCACATCATCATTCCAAAAATGTTCTATGAATGTCTCTTTGAACCCGGAAAAATCATTGAATTTGTGCAAAAACACCTGACCCCAAGAAAACGCTTCACCATCTAAACTATTTTTCAACATCGGTACAAACTGTCTGAATGAGCACCTTTCTTGATTGAAAAAATACTCAGCCTGTTCTAGAAAATCGAGCGGATGCAAACCGGACGTATTGTCAAACTTATTCAATTTCCTAGATATTCCTACATTACCAATCTGAGAATTATTGTTATAACCCTCACTGGTATTATTGAGTAAGTTGTTCCTTACAAGATTTGAGATAATATCAGTAACTAAATCAGTCAATTGACTACCATTAAACTCATTATGTGATCTCAATAAAGATTGACTAGGATTAGTGATTAAACATTCTTCCCGTCGTGTCCCATTATCTTGAATTCCAACATGACTACCCCTGCCACCTTCGTTCATTTCACGTCGAGGTCCAACTTCAACATCAGTTTGCACATTCATTCCTTCCCTACCTCCTTCTCTATATCTCATCTGGTTCACCTCCCGCATACTACCTGCTTGCTGGCATTCTTCGTCCTCCTCATCTTCTCTTTCTAGTAGACTTATGTACTGTTTTGGAATGGCTCCTTTACTTTCTTTATTTCGATCCATTTTATCACCTAATCTCTGCCGACCCACTTTTTTCCGCAGATCATAGTTATGCAGGAAACTATCATCACTCTGCTGTTCCATGCTCACTTGGTCAGCTTTGTTGTTCGATTCTCTTCTTGCTCTTTTTCCTTTGCTTTATTTGCGTTGGGCGCCAAGTTGAAGAGGTTTCAATAAGGCTAACTCTTCGTTATGGTTTTTTATTGAAAATCAGTTCGTATCTGAAATATATCTGACATCAAATACCTGACATTGAACTAGACAAATGTCAACTAATTTGAAGAAATATCATATCACACGTAAATTCCGATATTATACCATTCTGAATAGATTAACAATTACATTAACATCTAAGAACAACTTACCTGAAATACCAGGGTTTAAAGGTAGATGATCTCAGAAGACAATCTCACAATAACTAGCCCAAAAAGCTATTTCATATACAAATGATGATCAATGACACACAATACAGAGCTTCTAGATCTCACTCATTTATTTAATACCGTAGGTTCCTGAATTAGGGAAACGTGGTTATGCTACACCAGAAAATGTATACTGGGTGTTTCAAAATATATGGGACGCACATCAAGATGTGATAGGGCAGCTCAAAACAATAATTAATGATCCTTCAAAGAATTGACCAGAACTCTTTTGTTTTCAAGTTGTTAAAAATACCTACCATTTTTTATTTCTTCCGATACATTTGAGATGATTGAATCAAGTTTGCTTCATTATACCTATTTATCATTCTCTGTAGTGGGAGAAATGAGAGGACGCGTCCCACATATTATGAAAAACCCAGTGTGATAAAATCTAGTTATCTGATTATACCAGTATTAGTTTTCAGAATTCACGAATATTGGTCTAGAAATAACCAAGTTACAAGGGTGAACATTTTTGGAGTATCACCCTGTATATTTTGAAAGATCCTAGTAATGTTACAAGAGAGTCAACAATAATGAAACAGGTATGTTATGAAATCGTCCAGGGATATGTACTTTTTACATTCCGAAATGAAGACATGGTACGTAAATGCGTAATCGCAAATACTATTTGAGAATGTACTTTCACTGTAACAAAGCTGTTTCATGACACGTATCAGTTTCGACTCTTACTCAACGTTCTTGCGACGTCCTGCGATATTGTACTGTTGGTGGACATATAACGACTCTAAGATAATCTTTAAGATGTCAATAGCACCAAATTCACAACGTAACAACGTATCTTGGTTACAATGAAATAACGTTAATAGTATGAGTTTTTGCACAGTGGGATGGTTCTTAAATTCTACAAAATCATACTTGGGGAATGAAATTTTCTAATTATTAATTTTTTCACATAGAGCAGCATCACTATCAAGCTTCTCCTGGCAATGGTAATAGTTGAGGCACCGATCGCAGATGAATTTCTTTCCACAATGTTTGTTGAGTTGACTTGATACTAGTCGTGAAAGGTCATTAATCCAGACATAGTGATATTTTATATTAACGTTCTCTTCAGCATTATCGTTGTCAGGAGGAGCTTCATAGTCATTCAATTTTGGGAAATATTTGTCTTGAATTAATAGCAAATTAACGTGTCGATTACATTTATGCTTAGTCAGTCTGGTGGGTACTACAGAGTAAAATGTTCGTTCGTTGACTTCTGTCAACTCTAACGCATAAACATTCACCGAAATAGCATTCATTTTTTCAAATTTTGTGATTTGGGGCAGCTTCATTGGTATGTCTAATCCTTTGATGTTGAAAACTCGTGAATAGTGAGGATAATTATTCACTCTATATGACTTCAATTTAGCATGATGCAAACAACTGACTATGCTCCAATAGAAGCAAGCCTCATCATCATTTTGCACATTGATGCAGGCATGCTTTCTCTCAATCTGCTCTGGTAATTTGATAAACGATGAGCCATTTCCCATTTCATATTTATTTATGGCAACCTCCAAAGAAATAATTTCGCTCAAGGCCCACCCGCTATTCTTCTCGGCAAATTCGCTAAGTTTATTAAGGATCACATCTAGCGCATTGATTTTGAACCAATCGGCTAGGTCCGTTTCTGCGTCCACGATGGCATTGGGAGTACAAAAATGTTTGCGGTCAACCAATTCCCCATTATTTGACTGCTTAATGAAGTCACCGGAAAATGTAAAGTTGACTTTTAGCATTGAAAAGCGCCCCAAAATTTTTGAAATTCTCTTATTTACCAATCTAAATGAATCCTCCAAAAAGTCGATAATCTCCTTATGTCTCAAATTCAGAATAAGACCGGTCTGCACTCTTGAAGCGAATATTGAATTAACATCAATCCAACGAATATAGGGCTTCAGGCCGGAGCCAACATGTCCTCTATTCATAGTTTTGATGAAAAATCTCATCCGTTTCAGTTCCCCGATCTTAGTCTGAATTTTACGCTTCAAACCAATCGAAAAAGTATTTCTTTTCATTGCTAAAACACATTTCCGTATGTGTGAGCGGATTGATTTCAATACAAAAAGTGCCAATGGTTTAGAATAATTGTTTTATTACTTTAATTCTCTAGAATTTCAAACGAAGCTGCTGGATTGGCCTTCCCAGTCTGCACCTTTCCTTTGAATACCAAGGAATATTTCCCGCTACCGAAATATCCAATGTGGGGGGAATAGGTCTCAGTTACACGACTGGGCAGGAACACAACAGAGTCCTCCAACTCAATCAGAACAGATTTACCAAATTTTGTGGTGACCACTTTCGCTGTCTTGATTGGTTGGGGTTGACCGAGCAGGAGATCCACCAACTTCACGCTTGGTTTCTGTTGTTTTGGAGCAATCAGAGAAGCTGCGTTGATTTGAGTAAGATCCATCTGGTGGGAAGAAAAAGGACAAAAAACATCAGCAGTCCAACAAAGTCATGATGAGCTTGATACTAGGATGGATTATTTTCGATAAAACTAGAAATAAAATCAATCTGCGATTGATCATTGACACTTTCATTGAATTGTCTCTCGAAAAAACTTGGAATGAAAAAGGTTGATGCGGAATGAGCACTAGGTTGTATTATTTTCAGAATAAAATGAAAGAGGCCGATAATATAAAACTAAGAAACTCAAAACGGAATGAAAAAAGTCAGGTAATATTGGATTGATAATAAAGAAAGAACTTTGATAAAGAGGTACTCACTATTATTGCTATTAATGCACACAGACACACACAAACAGTGATGATTTGGCTGGAGCTGGTCAAGAGACAACGTTCACGATTGCAGACTCGAGTGTGAATGATGTTGCGCTGCGTCGTCGCTTTTATACGCTGGCGGAGATACCACGTGACTTGCTAATTAGCGATGCGGGTGTTCTGGAAAAACCCATCTAAAACGACTGCTGATAGCGATAATTTCTTCCGTCATTCTGATCACGTATTTTGTTCATGCGACTAGTTGGGTTTTTTATAGTTTCGATAACCTCCAACCATATCTGTTATGCTGCTGATTGTGAAATTGTTGGGTTTTTTGTAGTTTCGATAACCTCCATCATTATCTGTTGTTATGCTGCTGATTGTGAAATTGTTGGGCTTTTTGTAGTTTCGATAACCTACATCCTTATCTGTTATGCTAATTTGCTGTCGTTGCACCCGTGTAGAGATAAGCGCGCGCCAGCAATGGATATTATTTTCGACTCGAAGTTTCTTATCTCTGGAACGCATCTCTCGCTTCGCTCTACCTCGATAGATCCGTTGCAAAGATAAGCGCGCGCCAGCGATGGATATTATTTTCCACGCGAAGTTTCTTATCTCTGGAACGCATCTCTCGCTTCGCTCTACCTCGATAGATCCGTTTCAAAGATAAGCGCGCGCCACCGATGGATATTATTTTCGACTCGAAGTTTCTTATCTCTGGAACGCATCTCTCGCTTTACTTCACCTCTACAGATCCGTTTCAAAGATAAGCGCGCGCCAGCTATGGATATCCCGTTTGAATAGCATTAAAATAATTGAAATATTACGGAGGTCAGAATACCACAGTGCGTATATACGAAGCCTCGTAATGCAAAGGTCCCTGGTTCAATTCCCCAGCGGTGACAGCTTTTTTTAATTTATTTATTCACGATGGCGACGTGACGACGTATGAATAATTTGAATTTCGCGCCATTTGCAGACTATCTAGACTTGAAGTTCGCGCCGGCGACAAAAGTAGAGGAGTGGGGAATGCTGCTCTCTGATTGGCCTAGGGGCCAGAACATACATAGACTATCTACTGAGCACGAAAACATCGCCCCAGGTGTTGGGCCTATGATACCTCAAAGGCCACCCCTGAACCGTTCTGTGCCATACCCGGCACCTAACCCAGGACAGCGAGAGGACCATCCATTGAACCAGCCTGGATCTACCCAAGAAGCCCAGGGGTCAAACACCCCGACCGAGCGATGGGTTTATCAAATGGGACGTAACCTGAAGGTTACCATTAAACGTCAACTGAGTGAGTGATTTGATTTTATAGATATAGGTTTCGTTAGACTATATACTCGCATGTAATTATCTTTATTTCATAATTTACCAGAGTAGAGATAAGTATTAGAAGCAATATATAGATATTGGAAATTGTCTAAAATTTTCGTAGGTAGTAGTATAGTGTGAAAAAAAAATGCAATAATTTTAATTTATAATAGAAACCTAGTTATATTATTCAGGTATAGGAATTTTGAATGAACGACTCTATATATTTATCGTAAGAGAGGTCTGCAGGTACCTACCAAAGATCATTCAAATATCTCATTCATTTTATTTGTTGATACTATAATTTACTGGGTCACAACGTTATATAAACAATTTCGAGGATGTTGTAAGATGCTCTTGATGTTTCATGGGTGAAGTTCACGTAATAATAGCGCTAGAAAGAAATACAGATCATAATCTATATATAGCAACGAAATTCATATGTTAAAATATGGAATTTCGTCTACGAGGGATGGATCGAATGTAATGAACGCGAAGACTCGACCAAAAATATCATAACGAATACTAATGCTAGACACTTCATCCTTATAGGAAGTAGAAGGTCGTTTTAATTAGGTCAATAAATATTTAGGTATCTGAACTCGAATGCATTCAA